GTATACGTACAGTACATTTCCCAATGTAATGGTACATGTACAACAAGCACCCTGGTGACAAAGTCCTATTGCTCATTTAGAATGATCATTAAAAAAAATCCCCATATGTGTCTATGGCTACATAGAAATCCTTGATATACTGTATATACCGCTTTAAACTGTTGTTTTCACCCTGGCTTCCGAAAGAGGCATTGGCACCTAACAGCCAAGCTGAACACCAGTGGAGAACATGTGTGTTGTAAAATGTCACTTGAGGGATTTCCCTATAATTCATTCTTCAAGAAAAGACCTTGGGTTTACAAGAAGGAAACCAATTAATATCCCACCACATTTGGTCACTTGGTTTCCCATCCAGTTATTTTTCCTCTTTGATAAACAATTCCAGCCGCCCCCGGGAGCTTCAAGTCGAGTCGGGAGGGAATCCGTGGAAGTAGATCATTAATGTTTCATGCGTTTTTGCGAACAATGGAAGCATTTTCATGAAATATTTATCGCTGTCTGTGTTGATCTCATTCCTGGCCTGTTTCTGCTCCCTTCCTACCTCCTCATGGACCAAACGCATAAACAACACACCAGAAATGGCTGCTAGGGCCCTGGGGACTTTTGTTTTCTCATTTCAGTCCAAAGTCCCCTATGATCCCTTGCCAGTCCTTACAGAAGTAGCATAAATGAGCCCTATTGGGAAGATGAAGGTGTCCTATTTGGCATGAGGTTTCCATGAGTCTCTGGGCGCCCATGCTGAGGTGGGAATAAGCCATAAAGCTTCATGCTGTATTTCAGCTACCAGTAAGTGTGCAGTTGGTTTCCCGGAGATGATTTTACTGGAAGTAAGCACCCACTTTTTAGCTATAAACTACCTCCACTGGGATCTTCTATTGTAATGGAGCATGAGAAATATGGCTACTGTCGTGTTTTAATGCTTTCAATATGAGGAGCTAAAACTACCACATTATTGATGCGGGCCACAGGATGTCTTTAGGAACCTATGTAATTACAGAGATGTTGCAGGGGCATAAATACCCAGGTAGATTTATGGGGGCCCAGTACTTGACATGAGCCATTAAAGGGGGGGGAGGGGTGCAAGGTGACATTTTACAAGGGAGCCCAGAATTTCTAGGTACGCCCAGACATTTCCTATAAAAAGAAATTCATGAAGCTTTTTATAAACCAAATGGTTTTAAGCATTTGTGGTCTAGCAGTTTGTTTATAGAGAGAGCTGGGTCACCCCTTAAATTACGGTGCTCAGAAACCCAGGAAGCAGGTCAGTACTCTAATTTCTTCCATTTTATCCATCATGTTCTGTATTTTCAGGATAATGGAAAGGCTGAATCGGCCCTGTGCTTTTGCCAGTCGCTACTGTTCTGAGCTTTGAGGAATCTGGATGCAGATGCCACTCCTGTAAAAGCAACCTGAGCAGAGGTACCCAGCGTGTCCCTCCAGAACGTCCACAGCGTTATCTGCGGGTGTTACCATCGAGGTTTATGGCCCAGAGTGTGGAGGCAGTGGCTGAGACCTGGGTCATGCTGCCGGCGGCACACTGCAGCGGGGAAGAGACGCTCCACAGACGAGGTCGTCGCAGATCCGCTAGGCCAAGAGCTGCAGAGTGGCCCAACGGCGCAGCACCATAGGGGAGATGCTCGGAGACCTACCATCTGCTTGGGTCAGTACAACCAGAGAACACCTGGGCAGCCCCAGTTAAAAGATAATCTACATGATGAAAAGTGCAAGCTTGGCTTTCATGGCTGCAAGGTTTCCATGTTGATATATAGGAACTGAGGGCTGTGTGTGAGGATGGAAGTAGAGAGTTACAGGAGAGCAGCACGATTTATCGGAGCGAAAAGCATTTTGTGTCACCAGGTTCTCTCTGCAGGGAGCAACAGAGAACTGTGTCAGCTGCATGGAAAGAACTCGGTCACATTTATTTTAGCTTTCTTTCAGTATTTTGAGTGATTTTGTGTTTCTCATATTTTCTTTTAGCATTTATCCATGGACTTTACAGCTAAACGAGCCAAAATCTGAACCAAAAAAAAGCAACAACCTCCATGAAGGTCTCTGTGAAGATGGGGATAATTTTAGCCTTTTTTATTTCAAGGATTCTTTCAGGATTACTCAGGAGTGAGGGGGGGGGGGGAGTGGTAAAGTGGCCACAAAAACCTTGCAAAGGATGAACACGGGGACAGAGGACAACAACCGGCCGCTGCCACCTCCCTCACGTGGGACGCGGGCAACCATTTGCAACAAAACACACCCAGATCTGCAGAATATCAGTTATTTATATAGCCATCTTTAAGCATTCTGTGTTCAGGGACGCTGTGAGACAAAGATAAACCTCCTACCTACTGGATGGCTGAATAAGGTCAGAGACAGATCAAGGACGCATTCCGCCTACTGCCTACTGCCTGGCCTTGAGCACAAGGTAAAGACGGCCTCTGGGAAATAAACAAGGAGGATTATCCAAAGGGGAACCACTGCATCTTCCAAAATGAAGTGGCTGAGATTTTATAAAATACCTAAATATTTGTCACCACACCTGTACATGTTCCATGCCTAATTCTAAGGCTAAATCTCTGTGCTTGTGATCGGGAAGGTCACTGGTTCGAACCACAGCCTTGATAGAACAGTCACATGTCCATGAGTCCTTAAGCAAGGCCCTTAACCCCCAGCTCCAGGGATGCTAGATGTTGGATGAACCTGCACTGTGACCCCCCAGTTATGGAGAGCAAGATGGGGTAGGCAAAGACACAAATTCTTATGTATCTGTACTCATACTTGTACAATGGCCAATAAAAGATAATTCTATGTGCATCAGCATTAATTCATTACTTTTATTATGAGATTAAGGGTACATTGAATATCTGTGCGAAGTAAATCGAACAATGCTCCCTGTGAAATAACACAGGGACGGGGATTCGGGCTTTTTGCAGTATTCTGCAAACATAATTCTGTTATTATTAGGTTTTAGCTTTATCATCAATGAAAAACCAGCTTAAATGACATTAACAGCAGCACATTTTTGCACCTAAAAGGGCAGAAGTATGACCTGACGCTCAATATGTACATTTTTAATAGATGTAGCTGGAAACTATACATCCTTGTGAAGGTTGCTGCGATCTCACCCAAAGCGAGCTAAAGCAGTTTCACAATGTATTCCATGCTGCCACCTAGTGGCCATAAGGCCAGCAGCAGTCGGCTTTATTATGTATCATTATTATATATGGCCCACAGTAAAGTGTTTGGTGTGCTGATAAGATGAATTGCAGCTTAAGTAGAAGTTAAAATGAAAAATACTTACTCCTGGTCCACCACACAGCTACTTTGTTCTGGTTCTGAGCAGGCTGGTTACAGCACATTCTCGCACCCACCACACGACAAACCACCTCAGGGACGAGAACCCAAATGTAGCCGTGCAGTGGGTGATACTGAATGGACCAGTGTCAGTTTTTTCCGGTGACTAGAGTGCCAATCCTGCCACCAGCCCCCAAATTTCCCGATAAAGTGGAGGACCTCCTTACAGGGCTGAATGTAGATGAACGTCATACCCAGGACGAAGCAATTGCAGGTTAAGGGCCTTGCTCAAGGGCCCGACGGAGTAGAATCACTCCTGACATTCACAGGATTCAAACCAGCTACCTTCTCATTTCTGGCACAGATCCCCAGCCTCAGAGCCACCACTCCGGCCAAAGCAAGCTAAATATTCACTTATTTAAAATACACTTATTATCCATCAATTAGGACTTGATTTATACCTGTCAATAGTCAGTGACAGCGCATGTTACCCCAAAACAGTCCAGTATGGGTTTCAAAGCTTCTGTTGCTTCTATCAATGATAATTCCTACCGCATGGTGCTGGAAATATCATCTCCATTGCTAATATGACCGGTGCTATTTATACGAACTGTCCTGATGACATGGACACTGCTGATGCTTCTCTGCTGCTCGTCACGCCGTCTTTCCACCACATTGGCCGTTCATATCAGCCTGGATGAAAATCTATTCAACCTCGATGGCTGAAGGTGCGGGGAACAGGGGTAGCAGGGGAACAGACAGGAATGGGTCAGTCTAGACAGGGAGACAGAAAAGCCACACGACACCCAAAGTGCAAAATACCACAGGCGATTGTGCTTTAATAAATATTCCAAATAAAGTTCTAATTCATATGTACAAATATCATACAGAATCTCCTGTATGCTGGCAGCTGCAGCGCGGTGTGTTCAGCTCGACAGGCAACATCAGAAATAACTGGCCCTGTAGGATTCTTTGGTGATGCAAAAGGTAAAAGACTTTTATTTTTTTATTGATTTTCTTTTTTTGATATTTAAAAATGTAATACAGAGGAGTGAAACGGCTTTGGAGAGCGTCACCGTTTAGAGCCTGAGGGGAGGGAGCAGCACAGAGGACCGACGTCGGTTAGAAGCATCCCTCAGAAGGGGGTGACAGCGTGGACAAACGCCGGCTAAGAGTAGCTGGCGTGACACAGCTTAGTGACTGACAAATACAAACGTATAAAAAAGATCAAGGACAGTTCTGTAGCTTCTTGGAATCTGTTTTCCGCATGAGCTCAGCCTTTTTAAGCAGGGATATTGCGAGAGCGTGCTCCACACGGCGCCCCCCTGGAGACCTGTTTGGTGCAAACGGGCAGCAGGACGGCGGGAGGGGTCCGCTAAATGCAGAGGGTGGGGTCCACTCAGGGGTGAGGGCCCTTTGAGGTCCGAAAGCAGCCCGGCCTTCTGGATCATCCAGACTGCAGCTATATTTTTTCAAACCTTACTTCAGTGTCTGTGCATCTCCTCTCTGGTGTCCGATATCGGTAGGGGAGGGGAGGGGGGGTAGGGACGGTGGGGGGGGGGGGGTTTCACACTCCCTTGGTTGGCTTTTATCCGC